ACCCCCGTCAGATCCGCCATCGTTGTCGCGCGCACCGCTGCCACCGCCCGCGCCGCTATCCCCCCACACGCCAGCGGCGAAGCCCGGCTGAGTTGACGCGCGACGATGGCCGAGAAGCGACGGCTCGCCCTGGCGGTCCCCGTGCGCGTTCGACCAGATCGAGTTCAGATCCGAATACGACTCCCGCTTCGGCGTGCCTCCTCCACCGCCGCCGCCGTGACCGCCGGATCCGCTGCCGTCCATAAGGTAACTGTCCTGCCCTCCCGACAGGAATCCGTAGATAGCGGACGAAGACTTCGATCGGCTCCGCGCTTTCGGCAAAGAGTAATCCGCGTAATCGTCCTCGTCGTCCCCGCCCCTCAACGGCTCCTGCTGCGCCATACGGGCAAACCCGGAGCCGCCCGATCCGGCACCGCCGCCACCGCCGCCACTATTGGAGGGGCCTGGCCGCCCCTGCTCTTGGTCGGACCCGGCACCGCCCTCGCCGAGGGAGAACGAAAAGCTCCTGTACTGCCTGTTCTGAGGCGTCTCGGGCCCCAGGAACGCGGGCGCCTTCGCGATCGACGCAATACCCGACCCACCGCCAGCGCTGGCGGTGGGTCGGGTATTGCGTCGATCGCGAAGGCGCCCGCGTTCCTGGGGCCCGAGACGCCTCAGAACAGGCAGTACAGGAGCTTTTCGTTCTCCCTCGGCGAGGGCGGTGCCGGGTCCGACCAAGAGCAGGGGCGGCCAGGCCCCTCCAATAGTGGCGGCGGTGGCGGCGGTGCCGGATCGGGCGGCTCCGGGTTTGCCCGTATGGCGCAGCAGGAGCCGTTGAGGGGCGGGGACGACGAGGACGATTACGCGGATTACTCTTTGCCGAAAGCGCGGAGCCGATCGAAGTCTTCGTCCGCTATCTACGGATTCCTGTCGGGAGGGCAGGACAGTTACCTTATGGACGGCAGCGGATCCGGCGGTCACGGCGGCGGCGGTGGAGGAGGCACGCCGAAGCGGGAGTCGTATTCGGATCTGAACTCGATCTGGTCGAACGCGCACGGGGACCGCCAGGGCGAGCCGTCGCTTCTCGGCCATCGTCGCGCGTCAACTCAGCCGGGCTTCGCCGCTGGCGTGTGGGGGGATAGCGGCGCGGGCGGTGGCAGCGGTGCGCGCGACAACGATGGCGGATCTGACGGGGGTCACAACGGCGGGCCGTCCCCCGATCGGCTGGAGAGGTACAGGCAACAAAGGCGTTTCTCGCACGCGCCGAATCTCTATAACGATTACTCGCAGCAGCTGCTTAACAGGTAAACACCGTTGTAATATTGTTGATGATCGACTTTCTAATGTAAATTATGAAGTAACTCGGACAATGACTTTCCCTTCGACTCGAACCGAAGGCGTCACTCCCTTGCGGGCCCCCCGCTCCTGGGAGGCCGCTTCATGGGCGACAACAACATGGACTCCCTTTACATGGAGGACGCCCACGACGGCGCCCACCTCTTCGATGAGATCGATGACTACTTTGAGAACACGGAGCACCGCACGCGCGCGTGGGTCGAGGCCGGCAAGAATCTCCAGATGCAGTCCTACCCTCACCCTTGGCCGTTGTACGTCGTCGAATTTAAGGCCGGCCGGATCGACTTCTTTTTCGTCTCGGAGAGCGTCGGGCAGGTCATCAAGACGGGGGATTTGGTCATCGTTGAGGCGGATCGGGGTAAAGATTTGGGGAAGGTCATTAATGATGCAATCGGGAACACGGCGCAGCTGCAGCTGTTCCAAAACCAGCATGGGGACGCGATGTTGGACTCGCATTTTTTGAATAAGGAAGTGCACCCGAAGAGGATCTACAGGCTTGCGCAGCAGAGCGAGATCCCGATGTTGGTTTCAAAAAGCCAGGATGAAGCAAAGGCCATGGGAGGTTTGTATTTTCGATCTATGGTGTCGTTGAATCGTATCTGATACTTTCATTTACCTTAGTATGCCAAACAAAGATTAGACAAAAGAAGCTTCCGATGGAGGTTGTTGACGCCGAATATCAATGGTTAGCGTTAAAGTCGCTAATTTAATCCGTTGCTCATCTAACGACGGTTACAGGGATCGGCGCAAGCTTACGTTTTACTTCGTTGCCGATCGTAGAATTGATTTCAGGGAGCTTGTTAGAGGTGAGAATGTCGTAGCATTTAGCCCTCCGTACTGATCGTTCCTTTCACGGCAGATTTGTTTAAACTGTACAAAACTCGAATATGGATGTGCGCAGTGAACCCTGCCAAACTGATTCGATAGAACTCATTTGATTTGAAATGATTCGTTTCGGATACCCTGCCTACCCTACCCTCACATATCAAGAAGTCTGAGTTTGTTGTTTGTTTTACAAAAGGAGAGGACCGTTGTTTAGTGTCGTCGGTCGGGCTGAGGACGCTTAAAAGGGCCCGTCGGTTGTTTTTCTCGTTTTTCATCTGCATCAAAATTACACAAGAAGGGATATGGGAGTTTATAACATCGGGAGAGTAGAGTTTTAGAAAAGAAAAGAAGAAAGAGCCAGTAAAAAAAAATAAACATCAGCTGATTCTTACGTCGATATGGAACTTGACAGTTGCTTCCCTTTTCGTCATGCAGGAGAAATGAGTGCCTCGAAATGTCAACTTCCACCATGCGTCGGCTGGCATCGGCGTCACTGAGGTCGCCATGGCGCGAGGTCCACACTCCCCCGGCGTCCGCGGGCGCGTCGACTTCGATCTCGATCCTCGGCGTCCAGTATCCGCGCGACGCCTGCACCAACGTCCCACCGTCGATCCTGGCCAAAATCCCGCGCGGGCTGCATCGCGTCCCGAACCACCCGCTCAACATCATCAAGCGCCGTATCGAGGCCTACTTTCAACGCCTAAACTCGAAGTACGCCCTCTCAGACTCCCTGCCGCCCGTCGTCACCACCACCGCCAACTTCGACGATCTCCTCATCCCGACCTCACACCCGTCGCGAGCGCCGACGGACACGTACTACGTCAACGCCACGCATGTGCTCCGAACGCACACGTCCGCGCATCAGAGGGACGTGCTGCGGTTGCGTCCGCAGCCGGTGGGGCATTTGGTCACGGCGGACGTGTATCGGCGGGACGAGGTGGACGTGAGCCATTACCCCGTCTTCCATCAAATGGAGGGCATACGGACTTTTGAGCGCGCGAAGCTGGAGGAGGAGGTGGAAGTGGACAGGATTCCAGAGCGGCCTGCGGGGGTGGATATCACGGATGAGGCGGCGGAACCAGGAGGGACAAATTCGGTGCAGAATGCGCATGGCAAGGAGGAGGCGATGATGGTCGCCCAGCATATGAAGAGGACGATGGAGGGGATGGTGGTGGAGTTGTTTGGGGCGGGATCGAAGGCCGGGGAGAATGGCGAGCCGTTGAAGATGAGGTGGATCGAGGGATATTTTCCCTTCACGGGCCCCTCATGGGAGCTTGAGGTGCTCTACATGGGGAAGTGGCTCGAGCTCTGCGGGTGTGGTGTGATCCAGCAAGCGATTTTGGATGAGACGGGCAACAACGATCGCGTGGGGTGGGCGTTCGGCTTCGGGCTCGAGCGGCTCGCCATGAAGATGTTCGACATACCTGACATCCGACTGTTTTGGAGCGAGGATCCTAGGTTCCTGAGTCAGTTTAAGTCAGGGGACCTGGGTACGCTCAGGTTCCAGCCTTACAGCAAGTATCCGGCGTGCTACAAGGATGTGTCGTTTTGGATTCCGGTGGAGGGGTATCATGATAATGATATGTACGAGCTAGTGCGAGATGTGGCCGGGGATTTGGTGGAAGACGTTGCATTGGTAAGTAGATATAGACGGTCGGTGGAAGAGATCATAATGCCCCCTTTTTACATAGATTGATGCATTCGTTCACCCAAAAACGAAGCGCGTCAGCAAGTGTTATAGGATCAACTACAGATCCATGGACAGGTAGGGTATCAAATCCCGTGCGATCCAAGTTGACGACCCCTAAACCATCTCTCCCCTACTTCTCTTCTTGTCCGGAATTACAGGACGTTCACGAACGACGAGATCGATGAAATTCAGGAGGGTGTAAGGCAGGCGATCGTGGAGAGGTTGGGGGGAGACTTGCGGTGATCGTCATTAAAAAGGACTACGGGGTGTATATGTGCCCAGGAAACTCAAGAATAAAGTGGATAACTTGAACAAGTGCTCTAACAGATTTTGTTACTCGTTGGCACACGAGAAAATCGTTGAAAATTTGTTTCTCTTCAAGGCTGGTATGCTTGTGAGTCTTTTCTTGTCCTTTTACTTCTCCGTACCAGCCTCTAGCTAATAGTCACCCCGGGACGAGGATGCGGCTTCAGGACGCGTTATTCCTTTACTTTGCAATCGCTGGCTGATACAAAATTCTATGAGACGGCGTCGACGTTCTGTCAAGCCCGGGCAATGGCCAACAGATCCGCCACTAATGTTATGCGCGGTCGCCTCGAGTGGATGCTGCAAGCCCTGTGAGTCTCCCTGTGAGTCTCCATATTTGGTTTCTGGCGCCTCTTGACGAACAGCAGCAACGCCGAGGACCCACTTGACGGGGCAGATCCCGCCGCCTCGTCGTTTACCCGGCTGGCGAACATGTGCATTCGCGATGCTGCATAAATTCAATCCTTGCGTGTTTTTTGTTGCTACATCGCCTTTAGGCTTCCAAAGGCCTGACGGCTTGCTGGCAACCATAACGCTGCTAATACACAGATGTCAGCTTCAACGTCACTTGACTGGCCTACTTGTTTTTCATGGGAGAGATATTTTTGCTGGATTTTTTGAAATGGTAGCAAGATGTCCGACTACCGCGGGTCTGAAGTTGGACGTTTTGCAAAATATGTAGAATGGTCACGGCCATAAACTTTTGATCGGTGGCATATCCACCTCGATACTGAGAGGGTAAAATGGAGGAAGCAAGGAGATAGAGTGTTTGCCTTTGAAGACGAAAGCGTGTCGATTCAAAAGATTGTTACATAAAAGATTACATGTGGAAAACGAATATAATCTCCGCATGGGGGATTCGAACCCCCGCAACCGCTGTGAAAGAGCGGGATCCTAACCACTGGACCAATGCGGACACGCCAATTTTCAATGGAACAAGAGCGTCATAAAGATAATGATGTAAAACGGAGAAGAAAGACAGTTGAGCTTCTAAATTCTGCCTGCATCTTGCCTATTGGACGCTATACCAACATCCTATTGGACGCTATGTCAACATCCTGGTCCGCTCCACCCCATCAGGCATGCCACAGACTTGCCCTGCCTCGTCACATTCTCTGCCATGTGCTGGCGAGAACCACCATTTAAAGTCAAATATTACCTCAAACTAGTCGTTTACCTCCCCAGTGCCAAAAAGGAGATAACAACAGAGATATCGGAGGTACGAGAACCGACGGGTACAATCCACCCTGGAAATTGCAAGGACTGTCGAAACCCATAGATTGACATACATCCTACGGTGACACCTAAGGTAACATAGTAGGTTAACCCCTTAAATTTCAGCACACGCATGCCGCGTAAGCATGTTTACCCACTTAACCCATAGAGTGATGACCGGTATGCTAAAATCCTACGAAGGCATACCCCGCATACGACGACGAGTGAGTAGCCCTCGTCCTAGTTATCGCCCAGTTACCTTTTCCACTACAGCTTTAGCTAATGGTTTTTGGTGCATGACTAGTAGACTTAGAAATGGCTTACCATTATCTTCGAAGTACGTTGGTTATGTCCTGCCTATGTATTTTACACCCACCTACTTACTACCCGCGCTCGCCGGCACGGCTAAGGGCGGCTATGATTGGTAGTACTGGTAGACTGTTTTGTGGGATAATGCGGCGCTGATGATGCACTAGATTTACATAGTTGAGCACGAGTTCGAATTGAGTTGACAACGAACCAACTGATGACCGCCGTCGCGCGATGATGGTCCGACGGCTGGCTGGATTGCCCAGACCCTACGCTGCAATAAACAGCACATTGACCACACATTGTGTGCTTACCGTCCCCTGACTACCCCAGCGCGACTAACAGCACGGGAGTTCCCTCATCCTCTAGCCGCAGATCGCAAACAGTCAGTGATCACCAAGAAGGAAGGCCCGTGGAGGGTATTGGCCCTGGGTAAAACTGTGAAACCACCGGCGAAAGGGATATAATCCCGACGTGTGGCAGCTGGACCAGACTCGAGCCAAGAGAAGAACCAGTCGGAGCACGCAGATAATGAGCCCTCCGGAGCCAGGATACGTTGACTGTTAGAGTGAGTAGGCGACGTTGAACTTTGAACAGCACCAGGTGACGAGTTCTAGACCTACGACGCGCCAGCACTGGAGTACGGACACTACATTGCTAGCATAGACGTTTAATGTTATATACTCATTCACCATTAATTCAATGAGCTCACGCCCGCCTGCCATCTGACACCCGCGCTATGCGCTCTTACCTTGCGACGCGTACGCCTCGCTTGGGAACCATATATGGACTTACCCTGTATCTCCGACGACGTAGATCTTCTACCGGGTTGGAGTAGCGACCCTTCCGCAATGGTCTTGCAGTGTGCCTCAGTACGCACACACGACGTGTAACACCGTGCTTGTCGCCCAGTTTAGTGCTCGGTCGGCTCTGGGTTAATTATAAATAAAATAGTATTTATATACGACAATAAGGTCCCCCCTTGACTCACAATTAAAAAAAAAGGACATGCTCACCAAAAAAGAAAAAGAAGATGCTCACTATAATTAAGGTAGGTTTACCTGTTCTAGCTGTGGAGTTTTGGAGGCTACGACACCGACGACGCGACAGGACGCGCTCTGAAAAAACTAATAGTCGTCCGTTGACCTTAAAAAGTACTAACGGGGGAGGACAATCTCGCCGTCAATCGTGATAGTCAGAGAGGCTACACCTAGTGGACTGACTGGATGCTGTATGACCAAAGTGGCTTGGAAAAGCCGATCCAGCTTTCCAGGGACCTCTGCGGGACCATTCTGGCTGGGGAGCCACTGTGCTCCGAGCGACAGACCAACCTCATATTCCCATTCGCTGGCGAAGAGCAAGTATGAGGCCGAGTCACGTTTCAATCCCAGGAAGGTACAGACCGTCCCGACAAGGGAAGCGCCTCTTCTCCGGGAGAGGTATCGTCACCCTGGCTGAGCGACTGCGTTTGTTACCTCTACTGTTATTAACCAAACATACTTGGTTAGCGCCGATTGCAAGGCGCACTG